GTAAATGTGCAGGGTAAAAAGGACTCTTAAAATCCGAAACCTACTCTGGGCAGCTTTGAAAGCTATGATAGTAAGCTGTGGCCTTATCACTTTCATAATGTGACTAATATATATATATAGTGTACTGTAAATTTTCAAAGTATTGTGGTGCCTTTCCAAAAAAAAACAGTCCTTGGTTTCAGCTATAAGATTTTGGTGTCCTAGCTTTCCACCAAACAGAAATAAAGAAACATAAAAAATAAGTGTGGTCTGACCCATGAAATGTGCTTCTGTGCCGGGAGGGGAAAAAAGGAGTAGGAAAGTATTACGGACATCAAATGCACTACAGGCTTATACTCTGAATTAATCCCATTGATTTAATCAATAAATTATTTAAGATTTTTTATCTGAATTATGATGTTTGAACAGCACTGTAGATGTAGAGACTCTACTATACACAATTCTGTAAACAAAAAAGAAAAAAAAATAAATAAGAATATGCATCCAGTTTCTTGATTTCCCCAAAGTTTCCTTTCCTTATTATTTTACTTCTCAAGTCAGAGTTTGTCTTTTCTTGAAATGTTAGTCTTGATCAGAGGTCTGTAGTCTGGTCCAGGAGATCCACAAAGTGTTCTAATTTTCATTTTCCTTTCATTTTCGCTCTGAATGATGCAATTGAATCAGTCAGTACTTATAGGATTAGGATAGGACAGTAGGATTTCCAGATCCCAGGAAAAGATCACTGACCATTTCAAGCTAGCTTTAAAGCCTGCAACACTGTGGCTCTCCAGGACAAGGCTTACAGAATCATGGTTTAGATTAAAGAGACTTTTTGTAAATACATTTCATACATCCTTTTTCTAACCACTTCTTCCAATTCAGGGTCACGAGGGAAACAGAGCCTACTCCAGCAAAGGCAGTGTACAGTACACCTTTGCCAGTCCATCACAGGGGACGCACAGACACAAACGCAGACACACACACACACACCTAGAGCCAACTTTCCCAGAAACCAGTGAACCAACCAGTATATGTTTTTAGACTGTGGGAAGAAAGTGGAAGCATCCAGAGAAAACCCAGGGAGAAAAAACAGACATCACACAGATAGCACCCCTGGTCTGGAATTGAACCCAGGGCTCCTGTCATGACCACCCAAAATCAGACACAAGCCCATAAATGCCAACACATTCCCACTAGCAGAGAATCCCGCAAACACCAACGCACAGACTAATTATCCAACCACGTCCCCCATCCAGCACCACACCCTCTGACAACCTACTACTTTAGGACTGCTCACCTGAACTTCAACGCTCAGTATTGGACTTACCAGTGGAGCTCCCTGTTCTCGTTCTCGAGATTGCCTTTAATATTGCTAAACCTCTGAATCCTTGGCTTTCTGACCAGCAATCCAACCCTGACTACGATTCCCGACTACTCGATTTGGCTAAGTACACCTGGCTTCCTTTCTTTCTTCTTTTGGATCTCGACCTGTGCTACTTAACAGTTATCGCACAGGTTCAATAACATGTTTTCGGCTTTAACACTGTTACAACTCCAGGGCTTCAACATGCAGAATCACCCTACCCTATGACTATAGTTTCAAGGGCAACGATATGGGGAGTATGAAAGTGATAAAGATAAAAAGAAGAAGATAAACATAGGCCCTGATTTCTCATTACTGTATACTGGAAGTTTATCAAGAAAATCAGATTTTTATTATTATTTCAATTAAATGTAACAGGGAATGTGGCGCTTAAAACAAAACACATCAATATAATTAGGCTATATAAAAATAATTGCTAAGAGAGATCCTGACACAGGATGAGCGATAATTATATTTTATAATATTGAGAAAAGCTAGATTATTTGAATTTTAGTTTATTATTGTTTTTAGAAATATGCATCATAGATAAATGCATTTCATACTGAATTTAGAAAGAATTTTGTTTTTACATCTGTCAGTGAAACTCCAGGCGCCCTTGTTCTGCACTTGTCTTCTGAGGAATCAGTCATTCGGAATATTCCCACAGTAAACCTGATAATAGTAGGCAGCAAATATGTGTCCTCTGAAACTCCGTCCTCCAATATTACATTACATTGAGTTGGAAAATTCCCTTTTTTCATACTCCTTTAAATAAAAATACATTACACTGAGTTGGAAAATTCCCTTTTTTCATATTCCTTTAAATTATATCCAACAAAACAAACCCACAATAACATTCTGATCTCTGGGAGTGCAAAGGAAGCCTATGGAACTATACAGATATGGTTTCCTACTGTATCTCCATGGGAAAATGTAGTTACACATGGGAGACATTCATGGTTAACAGCAGAGGGCTCTCCAAAAAAAATGGAGGCTACTGCTTAATGAACTTGGTAAGTAGGATTATGGCTATTAAAGAATCCACAAAAAAGTGAATCTATCACTTTCCAAAGTGGTGTCCGTTATGAAGAAAATGAAAGTTCCACCTACAGTGGCATGAAATGGATGCAAGTGATTCTTGCCAGTGGTTTGAGGGGCAACTGGGAATCCAAAAGCAACAGCTGAAGGACTCCAACACAACATGGTCTCTTCAGGACACAAAGGTTTGTTGGAAACTATCATTTTAAATTGCTTGCATGCTTCTGCAGGGAAAACACAAAAAGAAGTACCTTGACTTTACCTGAATAAACAGGAACAACAAAGGTCGGATGAAATGACTATTGAGCTTTGTGGACATGCTTATCATTGTTAGGTTAGATGTAAAAAATGTTCATTTTGACAAGCACTCAGTCCTAATAGCTACCTGCTGGGAGCCAGGCACTGACCCTTAACATCCCGATCCCTGACCGCTGCGCTCCTAGTTACTGTATTTAAACCATGTGCTTCTTCTCGTCATGTGTGAGGGTAGCAGGCACAGCAGAATACACTGATTCCACACATCAGGGCTAGAAGAGCTAGCCTTAGGCGAATGACTGAATCAGGGATTGAGCATATACATGTACCGCGAAAGACAAGTGTATAGGTACACACAGTAGAATAGGTTGTTATGGGAGATTGTAACTTTCCTCACATACCTGCAGACTGAGAAAAAACAGCAGCGGTGTCAGAAATTGAAACTGAAATCGAAGACCTGATAATGATTGTTCTCTTACTTATTTTATTAGACCACCTACCAGAGGGAATTCTATGGAAGCTTATTAGCATCAAGAGAGAAAAAATATCTTGCTTATATTAATACATTCCAGTACATCGATATGTTGCATTATTTATGCAATAATATTGTCCTGTTATTATTGGCCTATCAGACTATTCCTCTAAACTAAGCAGTTTGACAACAAGGAAACTAGTAAGGAATGCTACTGTGAGGCAAATAGAGATTTTGAAAAAGCTACCATGTTCAGTCTCTGAGTTGATGTAGAAAATGTTTATGAGTCAATGCTGGCCATTATGGTACCGCAGCCTGAAGAAAATCCTTACTAAAAAAATCTCAAACTTTGCATGGAGCTTGCAACAAAACAATGATCCCCAAGCAATGTGATAGGACTTGAATCTGCAAAGACAAATGGCCAAAAATGTCATCAAGGTGGTGGGAAAAGTTGATAGAGATCAAAATAGCTATAATTGTTGTCAAATGTGCTTCCACCATATAGTGATTCATACAGTGTAGGTCAAAATACATACAGTATGCAATCAACAGGCTTGAGATTGTTTTGTGTTTATGTTTTGCTTTTTTTTAAAATATAATTAATATAATATTTATATTAAGTCTGTATACATCATTTTGTAATTTCACAAAATTGGACAATATAGGATGGCTCTGAATAATTTTAGAAGACACCCACCCCGCATTGCATAAAGTAGTTAGAAAAGTGATGGATGGATATATAAAGAGAAAGAAAACATTTTATAAAACTATTAAAAAAGAATAGGATCCAGTTAACAAACAAAAAGGGCAAAATGCATGCTTGATTTGTTTTCTATAAAGCAGTGACCTCAATGTTTTTTTCTGTACTATCACAGCAAAAGAACAGCAAAGCAGAATGATGTACAGTAAAGTCTCTCAGATATAATAATGGGAAGCTTTTATATGACAAAATGGCCATGAATGAATATGTCACTCTGGTTCTTTTTCACTTCATCAAGGATTTCTTTAAAAATTCTCCTTAACTCCATGTGCCTTATCTATTTACCCATCTGCTCTCCAAACCATTTGTTCCTGTTTATAGCTATCAGACACTCATAATGTGTATATAATCATGTTTTGTAATTTTTGGTAGTATCTGTATTTAGGAAGTACAACTGATCACCTTCGAGGCAGGATAAAGTTGAAGTCATTTATATTCAAATAGAGAAAAAAACTGTGATAATTCATAAACTTCATTTGGGGGCAAAATGTTAGTTTCTAAATGGACAATTTCCAAGGACTCACATCATTTTTGGAAAAGTCACCACTATACCAACACAAGAGAACAACAGCTCTCTGTGAGATGTGAATACACATGAGTTGGTCATGCAAACAGTTTTGAACAATCATGAGCAATGTATTATTAAAATCTAACAAACACTGTAAACATCATATTACAGTACATTACCAACAATTCAAAACCACTAATGGCAAAAGCAAATTGATTAGAAGGTGCAGTTTGACACAACCAAGCCCCAATAGCAGTTAGCCAGGGCCTTTCGCTTGGAGAGAAACAAACTCTTACAGCAGTAACAACGATAGATGTACTGTATACTATAGAATATATTACAATACGCACAATGTGCTCATTCCCAGCACCTATTTGACTTTAAACATTTGAAGTTTTTAAAGATTTTCTTTTGTTCTGAGTTTGAATATTGCAACATATTCTTGTAATTCTCTCCCTGGCAGGGTGGCTACCTGGCTGGACTGTGTGAGGAGCCCAAACATGAGTGTGGTGAACCGTACAGACAAGACTTCCAGACACTTTGTAAGGGATAGAAGCGCTCCCTCACATGGCCACTGTAGACAGCAGAGCAAATAAAACAAACAGGGCATGCCAGGGCTCTGTACCTGTGACTGCACATCCTGAGCTCTCCCAATTAACATCAGTCAGCATTACATCTAAAAGAAGGAGACCACATTAATCAAGTGTCCTTCCTTGGATGTGTTTTGTTTGGTAGATACAATAAAAATCGACCAGCTGCTAAAGGAAAGGGACAGTATGTATCGTATGACGTTTTGTCTCAGTTCTTAAGTTTACAGCACTTTTGATTTTATTACTACATTTAAATAACGTTTGCCACACTGATTGTTCAGGTTGCCTTTTGACAGCGGTGCGGGCATTTATTAACAACAGGGAAACTTAAAATAAAATAAGCCAATATGCTGAAATATAGCTGTTTCAATACTGATGGGTCTTGTTAGAAATAACTAATGTAGGAAAATTTAGACACAAGCATCATATATTTAATTACTGTGGGAATGTACAGTATCTCTCAGAAAAAGATATAGAAATATAAAATTAAGATAATTACATTCACATTATTCTTTTCTTCTGTGTAATTTAAGAAAGTCAAACTTATCCATAAACAGCAAAATCTCTACCATATCATTTTATGATCTTTTTAAAAATTCTTTATACTAAAAGACAATTAAAATGGCAGACTGGACATAGCAAAATTTTTCATCTGAATCATCTGGGACCAAGATCTTCTTATATATAAATCATGCGTGAGGGAAGTGTATTTTTACTGCTATTCCTAGTCATTACTGTCATTACAAAAATGGCAGCTGGGATCAAATGTTTATAGCTTATTTTCACGTAAGAGCTGCAAGTGCAGTTGGTGATGAAGGAGCTTCATTAACCAGCTTTCTTTTGATTTCTCATAATTGAGGTCCCAGTCTGTAACCCCCAGAATGATCAGGTGAGATGATCAAAGCCATCCTGCAGGGTTACTAAAAGAAAGATTAAGCATTCGGCAAAACGGAAGAGGAATAAGATCGTATGGATTGAAGATCACGACATAAAACCCCCAGGAACGTACAGTATGGAACAGTACATCACTCACCACTGATCACCACCGAACTGGCCATCAGATATTCCGATTTGACCAAGAGCATAAAACTTACAATACAAGCGTTACAATGTTTTCCCAGTTTGGTTAATTCCATCTTCGGTGTGAAGCAATATGAGCTCTTTGCCTGTGGCCTGAATTAAACTTACAGCACCTTAGGTTTCCCTCCAGTCTGTTGTGTAATCATAGCTTGGAAAACATTCAAATGAAGGTATTGTTACAGTATATCAGGCAATAAAGTAACTATGCAGTAAATTAAACAAAGTAAGCCTTACATATTTTTCTATTTATTTTTTACATCCTCATTAATTCTCTTTTAAAGTTTGGCATTATAATTTGTCTTCTTCAGATGGATCCCCCCAATTACTCACGTACAGTACTTGTACTCAGATCAAATTAGGATTCCTAGATTTGCCACAAAGTGACAGAGATCACTCTTTCAATTGTGAGTTCACATGTGTTTTATTTCCAATGTAGATTACTTTAAAAATAGTTGCGTCTCATTGCTTGTATCTCACAATTGAATAGGGCCCCAGCTCTAAGCTTCAGAGCTAATTACAAAAGGAATGAACCCAAGCCACGAGACCCTCACACATCACTGTGGTCAGTATGCGTGCAAGCTCATGTAACCGCAGCTACAAAGTGTTAGTAACTACTAACACTTTTCACTCTTAAAAATCTAAGGCTGTGTCTGAGCTTGTAGTCATGACCTTCAGCCAGCTCAGGGACATTTGAGCTGTTATTATCCCAGAAAGAATGCTCATCACATACAGTACATCAGAGCATTGGTACTTTCTTTTATGTAATTGTAAAACAAAATGGATGGTTTTCCTTGAACCTTTCATCGTATATTTTAAAGAAATTTATATAATCCAAAATCGCTCTTTTATTCAATGTTATGTTCCCAGACTGTTGATGATTTAAACGTGTGAATGACTGGCCGAGCTTCTGCCCACTGTTTGCACTGTTTATCTACCTCTCGTTTCCCTTTCATCTCAGTGCCTCAGCAGTAAGATCCCAGAAGACCATGGAAAGCCAGAAGCAGCTTTGGTCAATCCTTCACACTACAGAGCTTTAGAGCCCTGCATGTACTGTAAGTAAGGAGCACGTCTTCCAATAATGCAAAACATTCCTTTGTGTTTAGCCACATTTTTAAAAACAAAAATCTTAACTTCCCAAAAAGTCCAACAGAAATGACTTTTTTATACCTTTGGGACCTTTTTTTATACTCTCCACCTAATTTTCCACCTTCAAAGATTGTAATCTAACACAAATAAAAGCCACTACAATTTTATAATCCTGATTCTCTCAGAGAGAGACATCACACTTCCACCCTCTATTGACCTAGTATTGGGGCAGACACCGATAATTAAGGCACTGAAGAACCCCAGTTATAATCCACCATAGCCAGATCCTGAAATTAAAGTTTTTAAACAGTTTTAAAGTCTCATTATGTAAATCATAAAAATTTGAAGAGCTAATACATTAGAGAATAACTTGGGGGAAGACAGATTCGATTTTTGAAATGATGTTTTGAACTTATAAATTTAACTTATTCATAGATGTAGAGGGGCATGGAATTATTATTCATACAGTATATAAACGGACTGGGTTCCTTAGCAAAGGTATGAGAGAATGAGGGTGAGGTTATGCACTGACCTCCCTGTATTTCAGAATGTATCAGGTTGATGCAGTTGAGGGATGATTACTATTTAATTAGAGTTTTGTCATCGTTTATGAGCAACACATAAAACCCAGGAACAGGTGGAATCATAGTGCACAATTTTTCTTCTCTTACCAGATTAATCATTTCCTTTCATTTTTGTCCACAGAGGAGATTTATCACTGCAGAGTGTTGTAGCTGTACTTCAGGTTGATCACCTCATTAAGTGCCATTCTATCAGAATCCCAGTGACAGAATTACTAGGTTTAATGCCTTGCAGCATAATAAACAATATTGGCTGTGTACTATACATAGATTTACTATATGCTGAATTGTGGGACTCAGTAGTGAATATATTCAGAAAAAATGAGAAAGTTGCTTGAAAGCTGCTTGCATGGAAGACAGATGAAGTACTGTTTTTCAGTGATAATGAAAAAAGAGCTACTAATGAACTAATCAATTCATAAATGAGAAGAAACAAAATGGAAGTGTATCTGAACACTAACCGAACACAGAGGGTAACTGCTTATTATAGAAATATAATCTGCTGTTGTAAGCTCATTTCCTGATGTTATTCCTGTGAAACACTCTTAAAAATAACCAAAAAGATATTTATTATTGAAAATTTAGAATTTTACATTATTCACTAACCACATTTTTTTTTACTTTGTGATGAGCAAAAGAGTATGTAACGTTAAATACTGTACAATGTCACCTATAGCAATTTGAATGTTAAAAGAATACTGAATAATATGAGATAGTGTTTTGGAACTGATTTAAAAACAATTGTTTTGGAACAGATTTGCCAGTTTTGCTTAAAATGTACAAGCCCTGACCAAAATGTACAAATACTGTCTCATAGATCATTAACAATAAAACCTGCATTGATTATGTTCATTGGAGCACAGTATTTGGTTCTTAATTATTGTCTGCATTGCAATTCTATCTGTATTTCTCAATGTTTTTCACTTAAAAAAACATTCCGATGTCAGGTTTCTGGGTTATTACACCCTTGATATCATAAGGGATACTAAGGCATTGCGCCTCGATAAGGTCTGTGAATAGCCAGCATATAACCAGCAAAGACTGTGATAGTTTTTTTTTGTTGATTCTCTGAGTTTCTTATCTGGCGGCCCTTACGAATTTGGAAATCGGTACAGAGGCATCAATTTTCTGGGCGCCTAAAGTCTGCATAAGACAAGGTTGTAATAACACAAATAGTGAGTGGAATTTTAGGCAACATTGCAACATGGAGTGGCAACTCTGTGCAGTTGCTCTATCGTTTCCTTGAGCACTATTTGTAACTCAGCTGCCTCGGCTGCAATGTCCTGCATGCAGAGGGGGGTACCAAGGCGGGGCAGCTTCCCCAGGGCAGTGGATTACCACCCTGTGTCTGGAGTAGATGTTATTCTCTCTCGCTCATGCATTTGTTCAATTCAATGAGGGGGGAGGGCATGCTCTGGAAGATTCACCAGGCACTGAGCATTATAATAAGAGGGTGGGAGATGGGGATTTGGTTGCAGAGCGTTTGTCAAAAAGTTCAAGCAGGACTCAGAAAGATGTGGAAAGACTACCGACCAGCTAGTTGTTTCTCCTTACTCCGTCTCTTTTTCTCCATCCTTTTCATTCGCTTCTCCTCGCGACGCTTGGCCTCTTCCGCCTCCTGGTGCTGACGGCACTTGTGGAAGTTCTCCACCACCACGCCCACGAACATGTTGAGGACAAAGAAGGCCACGATGAGCAGGAAGGAGATGAAGTAGAGCAGCATCCAGGGGTTGTGGTTCATTATGGGCTGCCAAAGCGAAGCAAACAATCAATCCTCTTGTGCATGAATTCGCAAAAGCAAAACAATATTTTTATTGGCTTCATTGATACTTGGAGTAATATGATCAAGCCAAACTAAAAAAAAAATAATGCCTAGAGAAACACCCACTACTCTCCTTTCCATTGCATCAGGATATGGAGAAAAATGTTTTTCTAGGATCTATAAATAACAACCTTTTAAATATACAGCTCTTATCTGAAATCTTGAAAGTGAATGCAGTGAACTCTGTGTCCAGGAACTTGTCAGGAAATAAGCAATGGTAATCTCAGTTACTGCCATATTTTCTGAACAGCTGCAGAACCCATGGTGATATAAAGCACTTAATTTCCCAGGATCCTGCCGCTTGCTCTTTAAACTAATAGTGGAGTGGAAGGCAGAGAGAAGAAAATGACATTGTGGGAGGGAAGCATAAGGGCTGGCGCAAAGCAGTTCTGACAGGCCATAAAAAATAAATTAAGGAAAACACAATTTGTGTCATCAATTTAAAGATCCAAAATTGCAGCCTGAGAGAGAAAGTTAACACTGATCAATTTCAAAAGTACTTCAAAGTAAAAAGATGGTCATTGTGTCTAAGGAAACAGAACAGATAAATAATAGCTTGGAACACTGTAATATATCTTAAAGAAGAATTTTATATATCTATCTGCAAAATAATACAGAAAGACTGTGATACACAAAGACCACTTTAAAAAGCAAAGGAAATAATTTGAAGGGACTATAAGTACATTAGGAAAACGAAAATCAAAATAGGAACTATTTCATCTTAAAGGAAATGCTGACTGTAGCATTGTTTTTTTCTCTTGTTTGATAGGTCTCTTTAAGACCCATATCTCAATTTTACAGGAGTTCCAAACATCTTATAATTTATTGTGTATGTATGGGGTCTCTTTTTTCTATGTGTGCGTAACTGTGAAATCCTCTTTTTTTACAGTTTGGTATGGTTGAAAATAATTTTAAAACATCACATTGTAAATCGGTGACACAAAGATCAAATTCATAAATGAAAGTGCTTAAATTAAGAGAAAACCAATTTTAAATCTTTTGAGAGTATCTATATTTTTTTTGCTGTCTTCTACTTTGCTCAGTAGTGTTTGAGAGGATAAATTTATACCGTAGAAGCACATATCGTATCAAAGATTATGAAAATGTTAACTTTGTAAGGTCCATTATCTGCTGCTATAACACTATTATGAACCACAACAACTTAATGCTGCAGAAAACCCCTAACAAAAAAAGAAGAAATTAAATATGACATTATTTCAGGAAATATATAAAGCTGTGCAGTTAAACCTAGATTTAGAAAGCACAAATTATTATTTCAGTAGTTGCGTTGGATCTTGATGAATGTATTACAGGTTATTTGGCATAACTCGCCTATCGGTAGCTGAGAGAGCAGCAGCCTGACTGTTGACTGCTGACGGAGCCCCCCTCACATTCTCAAGGAAAGAGCAGGGGGCGGTGCTGGGAGTGGAATGCACAAGGAGCCCAGCAGACAAGATGTGTAGGAGATTAAAATCTACCCTTTCTGCTGTTCTCCTGTCATAAACTCCCATTTCAACAGTTCAACTTAATAACCTCCACCAACCTCCACAAAATCCCCCAAATACTGATATAAAGTTCTTAACAACAGAGATTATGTGGGCCTTAGGCTGTCTGGATTTGTTCAGATATGCTGCACGCATGTGAGGTACTGTAGGTGCAGAGAAATCTGCCCAGAGTTTTGATGGTGGAGACTGGAATTTTGCTACAGTGATTCTGGAAGAGTAGCAAATGCATCGTGATAGGATTTCAATCATAATAGGGAGGCATTTAGATGGAGAAGGCATGTCAGTTTTGAGCTCTCACAAATGGCGTGGCTGAATACAGGCGGAGTAATAAGAATAAACAGGCTCACTGGGATCTATAGTGGAATCAGATTTAAAACAGTTAATGTAAACACCGTGATGGTGGTAAGTAGGTGTAACGAACAGTTCTTTCCGGACCCTATCCGGACAACACAGTCCGACGGAGTGGGGAAACACTAGGGAAACGTCATGCAGGAAAACGGGGCTGAAAACAAGGGGGCGTGTCCAAGGTGCGCTGGTGCATGGGGGAGGTGTGGCCGAGGCGAACAATCCGAGAGTAGTCCTTAGGGAAAATCCAAAACGCAAGGGTAAGTCCAAAACCAGGAGATCCATCAGAAGAAGGAATTAAAAAACACGAAGGCCGGGTCAGAACCGGCGGAGAGGGAACGGGAACGGGAACGGAGGTTAAAACCTTAACGGGACCAGGCGCTTCCAGGTCCCGGACTCGCACGATATGGAAATCAGGTGCAGAGTCCGGATGAGCGTCAGCGCCTGGGAAAAGGGAACAGGTGCAGAGAATAAAGTCTTAGTGAAAGGGCTGGAGCACCCTTAAGGAGGGGGAACTAATATCGTGACAGTAGGTAAATAGGTGGTAAGTAATTTAATTGTGAGTTCAGATAGGGACTTCAAGGAAGTACTGTAGGCAAGAACGATACAGCTTGCAGCAGTGACATCAGCATATCACAGGAAGTCAAAACAAGCAAGAGATAATATCTTTTGTGCCAAATGGGGGGGATGGTAGCTGCTTTGTTGCAAACATATGTATCATGTAAGGATTTCAATGGTAATTGGGGGATATATGGATGGAGAAGGCTACTCTGTTTTGGGTTGTTTGAGGAAAAATTGATCTGCTGATGGGTTAAGCTAGAGATGGCCAATAGGAGCAGAGAGTGCAGTAATCAATGTTTTGAAGAACAGTTTTCTGAGAGAGTCATTAAAAAGATAGAGAGAATGTCATTCTGAATGGGAAGGAACAGGCACAGGAGGTTAAGGTCCAGAACTGAACTGAAAATGAGAGCTACTGCATCTGATTTCAGTTCCTGGTGATATGGGCAATGACAAAGAAACCTCTGTAAGGAGAGGTGACCTGATTTCACAATAAGAACATTGGAGACAAAAGAGGTCCTTTCTATCATGACTGCAGTGACTGAGAAGATGAGGATGCTCACATTTGTATCAGGGTGAGAGCTAAGAGTAGGAGAGGATTTGAATAATGTGATCGAGATTGGATTGTGGTAAAACAGAGGAAGAGTAGGAACTGAAAATGATCTGCAAATATTCTGTAGACATAAAAGGACCTAACGCTTTCTCTGAACTGGGAAGTCAGAAACTGAAAAGGCAGTGGGTCGGTCTGAAAGTTGGGGAACTGAGGAGAGATTATAGATATTTAGGAGTATCCTGAAAAGAGCTGCTGTGGCACCCAAAAGTGGGATGGACAGCAAAGCAAAATTTACCTCACAAGCCTGAAAAGGTACCAGTAATGCAAATTGATGGGCTTTACTTTACAAGTATTAGAAATATCAGCTTTTGCAAGCTGATTGTTTCTCTCTGTTGTTCTAATCAAGTGGGGAGCCTGATCAATGGCTGAACAGAGCAGGGGGGTACTGTGGATTACGTTATTGATACTAGGACTGAGGAGCCAAGATCGATAAGACGCCTTTATCTGTCTGAGATACTGAGAGAGCTAATTTGGCTTTGGGCAAAAGAGGGATCAGCAGAGAACAGACCATTAATGAAAGCCTGCATATCACCTTTGAGTAAAAGTGCCCACAATGATGGGAATGGAGAGAGCTAATAGTAGGATCTTGCAGGTAGTACAATAGGAGGGGAGGGAGACAAGTCCCAGAGAAATCCAATTCATCTCAAAGAGATTTAATGAAGAGGTACTGAGGTACTGAGTAATTTCATGGCCCCTAGCATCTTTTGACCTTAATGAGGGTAGCTGATGCAATTAAGGTGATGCAAGCAATGGAATAGCTGGCAAATGGGTGTAGGCACTGTCGTTCCCCTGCTGGAGGTGGTGGAGAGAGCACAAGACTGCTCTGGACATTCACAAAACAAGCTTTGGGCTGGTTCAATACTGTAAAATGACATGGACTGAAAATATTATTGCACTACTATACCATAGAGGTGTCTGAGACCAAGGTATGGCAAGCATACGTTTTTTGGGGAGTGGAGTCATAGTGAGGATTATTGTCTTGAGCTAAGCAATTGATCTTTCTGTTTGAAGCAGGAGTTTCAATAGCTATGATTGTTATGTTGAGGGAAGAGAGGGTGAAATGAGCAAGGTAGAATGGACATGGTCGGAGGTGAAGTGGACATTGGCCAAGTGGGGGGATGCTGCTCTTGAAGTGACCAGCAACAGGTTGTTTTTGTGTTGCAGTTCAGAAACCACAGCTTTCTTTGATTTGTAAAGTCCACTGTGAGTCCGTTTCAGGGCAAGTCAATTGTTTAATGTGTCTGTGAGTGAGATTAATACGGAACTGAGCTACAGTTTGTTTTACTCTTAAACTATTCTTGGAGTCTGAACCGCATCCTCTACAAACAAAACCCATCACTCTTGGGACTTCCTGCTATACTGGAACCAATCACGTCTGCTGGATGAATCTATGGAGCTATTTCTGCAGAATGTTTACAAAACCTGTTGATGTTTCTTCAAACAATAATGCCATGAGTAAACAAAATGCAGAATAGCTTACTGTGCTGCAAGTACATTACTTCACAACAGGGTAATGTGTCTGTTAATCAGATCTGAAGTTATAGTAAAAATTAGAAAGAATAAATTAAAGTATAAGGGAGAGAGTGAAGTCAAATTCTGGTGCAATAATTTGAGACCTGTTTGAAGTGGAATAGAAACTAGTGTGGGGCTGATAAACTATCTAGTTTTCTGCTTAGATTTCATTAGGATTTCAGTGCTTTCTCAATCCTATCCCCCAGAAGCCCTTTTGAGGGCAGACACATCATTAAGTGCTTGGTGCCTCTCCCTAAATGCAGAGAAATGTGGCTAAAGGGGCATCTCAGATAAGAGACATCCTAAAAATGTGCTGTACACTTAATCATATATAGTGCAGGTGGGCTCCAGCCAGTCACCAGGCCAGGTTCTTCCCAAGAATCACAGGTCAAAGGTCATCCAGCCATCACACAAAGGAAGATCCACCAATTGGGTATTTGTAGGGTGGGTAGCAGAACCAAACCTGATTGCCTCTCAGCCAATCATCAACTAGTGATGTTGCCCTATATAAACTGGAACACAAGTACTTTTCTCCAGTTAACCACTGACTCTCTCAATTTTTCTCTAAACTGCCAAATTTACATTACAACCATGTGCCTGCAAGCACATAAACTTTCTCCAAGATGTCAGTCTGAGAGAATGATTCAGAAAAGTACACAATTCTGCCCAAGATATTTTTTCTGAAACGGAAATCTTGTGCTCGTGAACCCACTGTTTCCTGAGTGTTTCCTGCTATGAATTGTATGTGTGTTCATAGCAGATCATTTTACAGATATAAATATTAAATTATGTTGTTGCTTGTTTTGCATGTTTTGGTTTTATTAATACATTGTACAATGTATATTTAGAATCTGTGTGTGACTGTAAATTATTGTATTTGATTGGTTTCTAAAAGTCATCAAACACTCTCATAATTTACTGTTATAATTTTTGAATGTTACAGCATATTAAAACCCCCAAAGCATTTCCTTGCTTTGCCAGTGCACATTCAGAAAAGGCACTCAAATGAGTAGCACAGAGATCACATCATACTTGTTGGTCAACTCCCACAGCATCCAGTCCATCATACATGATGTCCACCCATCCATCTTTGGAGGCCAGCACAAAGAGAGACATCAGTGCCTGGTGGAGGATGACAAGGAGATCAAATGAAGGTCCTAAAATTTTTCTCAAGTCACAAAGCTAAAAAGCAGAAAAGTTTTGGAATCAATCCTGTCTTGAGTCATAAAAGAGTATATATTGGATTCAGGTTCATATCCAGTGTTGTTCTAAATAGCCCTATAGTCACAATTATTGTCTACATTGGAAACAAGAAAAAAATATCAAGTAAAAGAAATATTAACTTATTCGTTTGGTGGAAATAAAAGAAAGTGAATTAGATTAATTTATAAATGAAGTTCTGAATTGTTCCGTGCTAAATTTTACCACATATTCTCAGTTACATACTCATATAACTGAGTATTTATGTTTTGACTATTTATCTCAGTGCTCTTGTTGTTGTTTCACACACGTGTGAACGAATGTGCTTTTCTCTTTGTCCTGGCAGATAGAAGGCTTTTGAATGTGTGTCTTTTTAATGTTGGCTCTGGTGTTGCGGAGCTCTATTATCAAGTAACCAAATAAGTCACTGTTTTTTTCCTTGTCATACACATTCTTTTGATGTTGTTGTTTAAGTTACAGTATGTCATGGATGATCCTGTGTGCAAACAGTAGCGGCAACTTACCTGGCCCAGGTTGTCAAAGTTGTACTTATGTCGGACCCACTTGAAATTAGCCTGAAGGCAGTCAGATTTGTTAGTGATGTTCCTGGTGTCCTCTCCTTGGCAGACAAAGAACTTCCCTTTGAAGAGCTGTGATGGTAGGATATGGAAGGATCATAAAGATGTCATTTTCATATACACAAGAGTATGGCTAATGTTAAACTCTGCTGAGGTTTTTCATCAAAACTAGTAACACTTACAGATGTGTAATACATTAGGAATACCATCTTCCACACTTGCATTTTCCACTGTTACAATAAAGAGTTGTCAAATACTGTACAAATTCATGAAATTTGTATAACAAACCACAATCTGACACCATATCCACAGACCACAGAGAAGGAATATGAAGGCAGGTGAATATCAAGAATTGGATCTTTAGCATTATGTTGTATCATCACTCTGTCCACAATAAAGCAACTACTGAATATTCTGCTACTGATACTGATTTGTTACCCACAATTTTGTACAGTGCAGATGTTACAGTATAGTAGTAACAGTTAATAACACAGTTGGAATGTTCCTAGACTGCACATAAAAGTTCCAGCTTCCCGAGGTTGATAGGTTATTGAAGAAGATAACAACTAACAGATGAGAGGAGATTCAAGATAAGAAAAACACATCTTTTATCACTATTCTAAAAATTTGAACAACATGCGTTACTTGAATCTCCCTCCTATTAAGCCCAGCTGTCCTTCTCTGCATAGCCAGAGCAGCAATACCTGTAATATGTCTCTAATATGGTCAAAATTATACACAATATGCTAAATCAGAGCTACCCTTAATTCAGCTACTACACTTTTAACTGCACAGTTCCTACATTGCAAATACCCTGAACCCTTCAAAAACATGACCTACTGTATATCTATGGTTAAAGGCAAGAAATATGATATACTGCAGGCATGTGGCAGAAAGTTTTATGGTCCGATAAGAGAAGAAATGACATTTTAGTCTAAATGCATTAATTAATTATTCTACGAGCATCAATTCTGGCTCATAGCATATCAACACCATTCCAACTGTCAAGCATGGTGATGGTAGCATAATGCTATGTGGATAATTTGTGTCAACAGCAACAGGGAAGCTTTTCAGGATTGAACAGAAAAGGACAGAGAAATGTTTTGTACCATGTACAGGTGAATCCTAGAAGAAAACCTGCTTGAGAAAATTCACACAGTTGGGCAATGACCTGAAGCACAAGACCAAAGATACATTGAAGTATTCTGACAAGAGGTGAGTGTCTTTATCATATGGTCAGTTTATGTCCATTACTGCCATTTGTTATTTAAAGAACAATAACTTTTTGTTATCAAGCAAGACCTGAAACGCCCATGTTGACTGTCATCTAGAATCCTAATGCCATAAAGGCGATTGTCTATTTTAGATCCAATTTTTATGTAGGATGGAGGACTAACTCCAGAGTTCCGCTAGTTGGCAATGTGTTTTGGGGGCTATCGCAAGCCTTTACAGCTGGGTGCTCTTGCTCTTGGTGGTAGGATTTCCTATGCTTTCTTGAAGGTAAAGTCACCTGGATTACGTCTCTCACAATCTGTTTAAAATCTTGTTGAAATGTTCTCATCCGTTTGTTAAAAGAAAAATGATATTTACAGAAAAATTATTTGATTTTTTTGTAGATGAAATGTGTGTCTGTTGTCATTTAGTTAATAAATATCTAAAAAAGTGCACTGTATGCAGTCTGAGCACATAATGAGTATCATGTGGTTGTTCAGTACGATGAAGCTGTGTATTGGTTTGTATTAGCAGTGATTAGTTTTGTTGATCTGGTTTATGTAAAGGGAAGTAGTTTTTGCGTTGATGTAGCTCATTCTGTTTTGTCTCAAAGGATTGTCAACCACTGGCTGTGGTACAGTATATTAATAAAACTGCGAGTTAAAATCTGGTGTCAGAATTTTGATTGAACAAACCCATAGCCTTAACAAAATACACAACGCAAAATACAAAAAAAAGTATGAAAAGGTGTGCAGTATGATTTAAAATCTAAATTTAAGAATGTTAATCTGTGTATACAGTGGTGTGCATGTGTAAATGGTAAATTATATGTAATTTTTCGCTAAAATATGCTCAAAATGACCTGGCTTTTTTTTTTACAAAAAAATACATTTTTGTGTACTTTATATGGATCAATCCTTTCTGATCTAAAAGCAGTACAGTAGGTGACTTATTTTCACCACTGTGACAAACCTAGCACACACACCACCATAATACGAATCCTGCTAGTATCATCTAGCAGGTATTCTGTCATTCATCTTGAAGTGCCCCCTACATGATCCTAGCTGTGACTCATTGAAGTCTCAGAGAAGCCTGTAGGTATTTATTTTTAGTTTCTCTCCACTCAGCATTCCACTCACAATGTCACTAAGTCATCTCCTCATTAACTCTTTACTTCACCAATTTCTGTTTGTTGACTGTTAAAGCACTGTAGTATGCAATCTGATATACTCTGCGGTACCCAATCGCAGTCCTCACTTGCCAAATCACCATTCAGTCAATTCATGGTTCAACCTGTGCTATCTAGACTCCTTTCTCTCTCAGCTGTAGGGAGAAGGTACACTGCTACTTTGCCAGGTGTTACCCTAACTCCTACAAGTAACAATGCCTGCAGTCAGCCCTGGTTCAACAGGCAAACTCTGTTTCTGGGCAACGCACTTTAACCCCATTGAACCTGCTACACATTAGGAATGTGGAATGCTGTTTCTCCCTTATCTTCAGGCCTGCTGGGCAAGCAAGTTCTTTCTCTTACTTTTACCAGGTACTGTAACATTTACTACATCCTAAACCGCAAGCACCCTCACTTACAGAATCCCACGGGCCTATATCAATCCCTCTCTATTCTCATTCTTCCCTCCTTCCAGGCCGAAGCCTAGATTGAAACTGAAGCCCTTTTCCTCCTGGCTGTTCTTACAATCTTCTCGATTAGCTTGGGGGAGTGGGTTACGTAATTGTTTTTGCTTTGGAAACACTGTAGTTCATTGCTAAGACCAATACATCTCCTTGAATTAGAATTTGAGTAGTCCACTCCACACAGAGCCTGTCCTATCTGCTCTTTTCCACATCTGGAGTTCCACTTCCTCTGAGAAGGTAGGTTTTTCCAGTAATTTTGTTCCCATTTAAATTATTGGCTGGAATATGACAGCCATGCCAGCAGGATTAGATAGTGGGATGCACAATATGGGACATGTATCAAGGGTTGCGACGATGTGGAAAATAGACACCATTGAACACTAGGAAGTAATGACTTCCCAGGTTTGTATCTTATTAAGAAAATGAGAAGAGATCTTTCCCAAGCTTTTGTTTCTGCCTGGGCATGTGGTGCACATTTGTATGCATCAGGCAGTTTCAAATTTCAGCTTTTAGCATTGTAAGAGGGCAGTGGTGATAAGATGGCAGTTCTTGTTTGAATGATAAGATCTGTACTACCGCACCACATCTACTGTGGTGTGACAAAATGGAAGTAGGACCTCAGGATGAACTAAAAAGAACATTTGCAAACATAAGTGTACATAACCCGAAAACTATAATTTCTGTGTGATGTAATACTGTAGTAGTAACTTGGACTAAATGGGATTGCTACTTATTGATTACAAGCAATCATATCTATTAGCATGAAGAGACACCCTCTGATTTTATAGGTACAGTAACTTATCTACAATGAGCAAAGACCTGGTATCAGTGGTATTAAAAAAAACATCAGTATTGTACTGCAATCCCATGCACTACATAGAATGTGTTTAGGAGCAGAAAGGAGGATAATACAGACCTAAAAATAGAGGGCATCTAGAGTGTGAATAATGTATAGACCAAATTAGATAGTATGTTACACTAATTGTCATTTTACAGAATACAATGTTAACATCTTGCCACTAGAGAAATTAGATTTACTATAAAAGTTTGACTATTTGTCCACAATTGTGGATCCCCAACTAGGACTTTATTAGTACAGAAGATCAGGTGACTGGAGGGGGTTTCTGAGCAGTTACACAGCAATCTCATTAAAATGATTTAAGAAAATCCTAGGCAATCCAGTCCCCAAAGGCAACATTGCAAAAAGCCCCTGTTTTCAATGTAGTTGCATCCGTATCTTACACACACAGCTACTCCAGCCTTATCTGAGTGTGTACACTTTTTTACACTTAGCTTTACTCGGCATTCAATCCCGGTTTAATATTTCCTGACTTCAGCTGTAGTTCCTCTCCTAAACTAAAACCTAAATATAGAATTCTTGGTGTAATATCTGACTCTGGCTTAAATTAGTTCAGGTGGGTAGCTGCGTTAGCATGCATAGGCTGCAAAGGAACAAGTAATAGGTTTATTCCACAAAGGCACAAGTAATAGGTTTATTCCATGCTGAAAAGAGATGAAAGAAAACACATTTCGGCTGTGAAGCCTTCTTCAGGTGTGAGAAAGACAGGGCGGACAGCAAAGATCAATTAGCCCAGGAGAACAAAAGCTGTCAGAGGGGAGGAGGCAGGAGGGGCAGAAAGGCAGAGAGACCACTCAGGAAGTGCAAAGTGGAGAGGGGTGAAGACAGGTGTGAAGTCAAAACCTGCATGTGAATAGAGAAGATTACACGAAAATAAGTCGGTCATTGAGAGAAGGGGGAAGGTGTGAACCTAGTTTCAGGATGAGTTTAGTTTCTGTTGTCTTTCTACTATGGGAGTTGAGAAACCCTTCTTTGAGAACAGAGACAGAGAGATCAGTGTGATCATGGCCGTCTGTGGTGAAATGAGAAACAATGGGCTTGGAGTGATCTTTAATGTTCATAGCCCTAATGTTCTCTGAAGTGGTCTCCTTCTGGTTTCCGCAACGTAGATAGCTGAAAAGAGTTCCTCTGGCTTAAATCATTACAATATACTGCATATTATACGTTTAGAAATATTGCAATGATAAAGTGTTTCATATGTCTTTCATGGGCTGAGAAGGAATTCCATGCTTTTATCTCATGCTCTTTTTTTTTGGTTCCATTAGTCCGTCTATATCAAGGTCACAGCTGGTGCAGAATGTGAGTGCTGGAGTCTATAATAAAACAAAACTTTAAGAGGATATTACTCCAGTCCTGGCTGCTTGCCAGGGAAGTCAAGCAGTGGCTTCCAGTTAGAGCTAGAACTGATAAGATCCTCTTACATACAAAGCACCTAATGGTTTGGCATCAAATTATCTTGCATAGAGAATGTGTCCCTGTGAGGCTCACAGTGCACTGAGGTCAACCTGTTGTGGCTTTTCATAGTTTCATTATTACTGTACATGTTCTTTTAATTATATCTTTTATTGTTTTTCCTTATTTTTTAATGATGTCAGTTTTATCTATAGCACTGATTATGAAAGTTGTTGAATAAATATTGGCAATTTGTTATTTAAGTAAGCTTTTTTTTAAAACCACCAAAGGAATTTTGTTTTCAAGTTTTAGGACTCTGGGAATAAGAAACACAAGGATAATGTTTGTGCTCCTTTATTTAAACCAGAACAATCAGATTTTGCACACATGAATATTATTTTGTATTGAATGTATTTAAAATTTTGAAAACTTTCCACCAAAGACTGCAAAGGAGTAGATATGTGCAGACCTATAGTTTTTACATACTTTTTTATAAGTGAAAGAAATGTCAGACAATGAGTTCACAGACAGTTAAGGGGATGAATAAAAAAAAAGCTGAAAGTGAGGTGTCGACACTTCATCTGTGTTGCACCGTGCAGTCAGGTTGCCATGGAAGTCCACTTGGAATGGTTGGTCTCCATTGGCCTGTTGTATTAGTGTTGTATGCTGTGCTTAATGTGTGCTGGAGCTCGCAATTTTATACTTATCCATGCTTTGGGACTTCTAAGCACAACACTGACACCTCCTTGTGACATCAAAATTTAACATTTTACAATTTAAATAATACATTAAAATGGACCTGAAGTGTAAAAAACCAGAACAGGCCTCTGAGCCCTGTGATTTGCTGTGCAGCTGATGTCACGGTACACCCTACTGCAGGATTGATTTGAGGAGTGGCTGAAGACATCTTTGTCCAACTCGCAAAGAAGGTTTTTTTAAATACTTTAAAAGACATTTTTGGACTCTAGATTATTAATTGTGAATCTTCAACCATGTTTGTGTAAAAATGGCCAAAAGGCAATCAAAAATATATTGTTTTTTTCAGTAAAATGATCAGAAAACTTTCTGCTGAATCTGACCTGAGGTGAAACTAGATAAGATTGGGAGATGTGCTACACCTGTGGTCGCTTTGGCTGAAAATATGTGTAAAATTACTAGCAGAATGTGTCAGATGAACATTTGGCCTACCAATCAACTTGAATTTAATCAAATCAAACACAAATGGCTAATAACTGAAAAAAAAATCTTCGCCGCATGACATGTCAGAAAGTAAGCTCCATGAGTCCAGAGAAAACGTCAGGCAAGGAAGTTGTTAAAGAGTAGGCACTATGATGTATTCTGCTCTCTGTTCTACATTTAAAAAAACAGTGAAGGGTGCTCAGGAAAAATCTAGCATTTTAAATAAAGTTTAAGGGGAAAGGGTGATACTTTAGTGTAGATTATCATTAAAGATAAATGTGAACGATTATCCACCAGGGCCTGCATTTTTTGAAGATCTTTGAAAAAGGCTAAACATCACAAACCATCAAAAAGTACAGCAGTGAACTAATGCTTAAACGAGGCTATTCCTTTTTTTAAAAGTAAAAGTTATTAAATCATAGGTTTATGAAAATAATGAAAAAACACAATAATGTTTATATAAAGTTTCACCTTTCAGCAATATGTGTAATGTGTGTAGCTCTGCTATGCCTTTATTGGGATTGGATCATAGTCAATCACAGGTTCAGAGCAGACACATTAGATGAGTATACAGAACATTATGAGTACTAATAGCATATGAGTACTGCATTTGAAATGACTGTTTTTGTTAATTCACCCTATTGTCATGTTATGAATAGTAGAAGCTTGAAAATGTGATATACTGGATTACATTACACTGATTTTATGTGTATGTTACAGTTCATTATCTCTGCTGCCCCAATACATCTGTTTTCTGTTAACATGGAGCAGTGGTTTGATGTCCAAGGCATGATTCATCACCAAAGAGAACTTGGTTCCAGTGCTGGTAAGTTCACCTGAGGTTTTCCTCCAGTGAACTGATATGTGTTGTTTTTTTTTCCAAGCAGGGCATTTTGGTGTTTAATATAGTCGTGGTGTGGGTTTTAAAGTACATTTAAGGCAGAGGTACTTGCTAGCTGAGCTAGTTAGATAGACAGCTTTTATGTTTTCTGATTATTTTGTTTATTTTATCAAGCACTAAAGCCAAGCATTTTATTAAACATAATGCCAAGAAACCTCTTAATGAACATTTCGTTCTGAGTCTGTTACGTGTGAAGGTCCCATTAGGCATCTTCAAAACAGTACCGATAACTGGACACAGAGCAGTCATCCCTTACCTGCACTCCAAGGATCCCAAAGATGATGAAGAAGGCACAGCAGATGACCACTATGTTACCGATGGGCTTCAGAGAGGACATCAAAGTTTCGACCACCAGCTTGAGGCCTGGGGCACGACTGATCACCCTGCAGGCGACAAGAGAAGCCCAACTGAGAGTCAGAGAAAGCAGGTTTTCCTACAGTGGGGCAATGGCTAAGAAAACTATTCCCGACTGGACGTAGAGGCAGATAACTGGAAAGTCATTTAATTTGACAATTTCTGAATTCCTAAAATTCCAATACCTGGGTTGTGTTTCATTTTTCATTTGATTTACAGCTTTCGTTGCTTTTCTAATTACTGTATTGTTTAATTTATAATTTAGATTAAATAATATATTTTAAAATAAATCATTTAAAGACAGAAACAATTATTCTAACTCTAATTTAGATAAAGAACAAATATTTATATTTCAGTATTTTAAAACTTAAATATTATAGTTATTGCCTATCTTATTTTAAAATATTTCAGACATAGAGCTAATGTCATGAGGCCGCTACAGTAGTTTCAAAGGATGAAAAGACTGATGTCAGTAAACACAGTCATATTACATCATTAGAAGGATAGAGCTGCAGTTGGGGACTGTCAGGATTCTACTTGTCTTTTGTCAAGGGGATCACAAGGTCATTTCATGCTTTTCTCGTGAGAATTCTTTTACGGTTTTTAACTGTGTCAAAATTCATTAGGCTAAACTCCCTATAGCAAGATTGCTGACTCCTCACTTTGATGACCCACAATCTGGGTATTATAGGTCAGCTTAAATGTGGTAAAAGTGTTAATTTTTCCAATAGAGCAATGTAAGAACATGTAAGTGAGACATGTAAGTGTTTGTTTGGTAGTTTAACTATCACAGTAGATCTAAAATGTCATCCAACCATTTCCTTAAAGATCCCAGAGACTGGGTCTCAAAACATGTGCTGGGAAATCATTTTTTTGTTTTCTTTCCTACAGTTCATAAGCTCCTTTTTAGTTTCCAATTGTGAGCCTGCATGTTATTTGTCACCACTGCCTGAAATAGACGGAGCAGATCAATACCCCTTAGGATCTTATGTACTGTACTTAAATCAAACCCCACACAATGATTTACTGTAAATATTTTAGAGTGGAACCTCACTTGTTTTAAATTCTGGACTTTTTGCTAATTATCCCAGCACCGTTTGCTTTTTTTATTGCTTTCCCATTGTTTTGATGAGGATAAAGAATAATCTACACAAACACCCTGATCTCTTTCACGATTCCTGCAGCTCTGAATCACTTATCTGATAGAGACAAAGGCCGTGTATTTCCTTAGTCCATGATTTTGTATCAGGAGGTTTGCAAATCACTTGTCTATGTTTCCCACTCCCCCTTATTTTTGTATCATTTGTACATTTCACTCTATAAAAAATGTTACAGAGCATTATTAGGAGCTAAATCATATACAGTTTCAGGAAGAGTAACAGGCCTAAAATGGATCCCTACAGTATATCATACTATTGCTTACACCGACATGATAAAAGAACTGAATCTTTTTACTTCTAAATAGAGAATAAAAAGACCCAATAGTCTTCTTCAGAATACTATAAAAAATATGAAACCAGTAGTAGAACACGTACTAAAAGGTACTTTTACCAAGAAAAGAAGACATTTTTAGACAAACTAGTCCACTTTTTAGTCCACTGTTGTGGACGTTTGAAAAAAGCTGGCCAGAAATGTTGTTAAACCTGAAAAACTGGCTTCTTTCAAGAAACATCTACACAAACTATTCAACTACTAGCAACCAAAAAACATAAATGAGCTGAACAGCTTTGTGTCTACACGATCCAACACCTCTTCAGTTGCTGTGTGCTGAACATAGAAATAGCATTCCCGGAATGTCAATTCCAGCCTTTTCCACAAATTTTAAAATATTATTATGTTTAGTTTTGCCTGTAGTGAAATCATAAATTGGCACTTAATTCCTATTTCTCTGTGGTACCATAGTCAGTACTGGGAATGACCTCTAGAGTTTTTCCCAGTCCTGACTTATTCATTTTTGTTCCTAGTACTGTATTCAGTTATTCATACTTGTTCCCAGTACTGAGTTATTAATTTTTCCATAAACCTTGCATATCTACAATAGATGTGGCACAAACAGTCAAACCCCACAGAGACAGGGACCCCAGTGGAATGGGATTTATCCCATGATTCTGGAACTGTGAAATAACTGTGATACAAAACCATGCCATAAAGCTGAGGGCTATAAAAACATTGTTGTTTGCACCCAACTAATATAAGTCTGAGATCTTGTGCACAGACTCCAGCCATGACTCTTTTGCAAGGCTGTTAACACCATGAGTATAACGCATTAAAAGACTTTGGCAACACATTTTGCACATCTGTTTGTTCAATAAATTAAAGGGGATGCTTACAGTTTATAAGATTATCATTATTCAATTAATTAAAAGCCTGGAAAATACAATAATAAAATATTTAATTTAAACATTACTTCATATATGCTTTGACTAAACTGTGGTTAAATTTAACTGTGCTTAATCACACTGCTTGAAGAGCCTGGAAGCAGTTTGAGAGCCCAGAAGAGGTCTTGTACTAAACTTTAGGATCAGATGTTCTGATTCTTAACTTTGCTGCAATTGGACTTAACACACACCTGGCATACCTGGCAGTTGCCAACTTTGAAAGTTTGTTTTTACTGATAGTGTCCCTAAACTTCCTATATTATATTTTTTCTTTTAAGAACATGACTTCTGTTCTAATTTGTTCTGCCTTGTGAGCAGTCTGTGGTGGCTGGGGGAGGAAGGGGGGGATTCAGCCCTTGGATGGAAAAGAAGACTTGAGTTACAAGAAAGTAGCAGCTTTCAATAAGCAGAGCACCCTATGGTAGTGCTACCAATCATACTCTCACATGCTAAACAGGACAGAGTGCGTTATGAATGTGGTGAAAAAAAAAACAGCTTGTGAAGGATATTGGTTTGATTTTTTTTTCAAGTAGCAGATATGATGACGTTAGTAGCATTGTTTAAATTAAATATTTTTATAGTCCAAAACAAATCTGGACCCCTGTGCCTTATTGTATTATAAAACCTAAAATAACAAAATACTGGGAGGGTGGAAAAGAAGCTATAAAATTATTTTAGTATTTTCTTTAAATACAAGTCCTATTCTTTTAATTGTGCTGCAATTCACTATTATGGTTTATTCTTTAGCATAATTCAATGTCAAAACACTATTAAGTTCACACTCTGTTCAATTGCAAGACAGCTGTTTGCATTCTATCAATCACACTGTAAATAATAAAAAATTCCCTATAATGTACAGTTAAGTGACAGAACTATTTTCACTGTAGCCAGACATTTTAAAGTGTTCCAAATTAAAATCCATTATTTTGTCCTGGGGCACAATTCCACAAAGTTGGAATCACCACTCTAATTAACCCCTGCCCAGTCATTCACTTGCTCCTTTCAATAGAGTCATTAGTGTTCCCTGGGCTTTGTACTGCTATTTAAAATAAGCTCAACAAGACATTACTGAGCATCAGATCGAACCTATCTTTATATTTATCCATGTATGGTTTTATAAATATATTGGAAATATTATGGGAATTCGTTATTTCAATGTCTTTTTGATTTACGTTGATTACGCTCAGGTGATAAAGTGATTTAATCAGTTGAATGTCAGGCCTTATCAAAATCAAGAAAGCAAAACACAGAAAGGGACTTGTTAAACATGGAGGCAGAGAGAGAAAGAGAGAGAGAGAGAGAAAAAGTCAGGCATCTGCTGGAAGCAGAGGAGAGATTCATGTTGAATGTTTCAACTGATTACTATATGTTTGTGATCAATGTTGTTTGTTTTAGTTGATCAACTCTAATAGTGCATTAATACTTTAAATTTCATATAGGGGAGGGCTACTTCCAATATATCTTTTAACCATACAAAGCGTATGCTGTAGTACATTATGCAACAGTATAAGGGTTGACGTATACAGTACATGATTGTGGTCATTCACTAGGGTTCTCTACTTCGAACCTTTGTGAATGTTGAGACCATACTTATTTTAAAATGTTACGTCATCAAAGAATGTAGTTGACATTCCTAGAACCTGTTGAACTTGCAAAGAGCCAAAATGTTCTTGATTGTTGTCCCACCACATAGTGTCCCTCACTTACTTCAGTGACTTAAAAGTTGGAAACTGTAAAGGGCATTCCCAAGCCTGTACAAGTTTAATATTTTTTGCATCTTAAATTAAAGATGCAATTTAAATCTTTTAAATGAACAACTTTAGAATACCCTGAAAGAATACAAAAATAGCTGATCCAATACTGAAACCAATTTAGACCACAGAGGGCTTAAGACAGAAAACAAAATAGAAGACCTAGAAGTCACTGGATTAGAACAATACTCTTATAGGCTTTTGTTTCTGGTTTACCTGCTAGAGTGATTTCAACTGAGCTTCGAACATTCTATTCCATCTACTGAAAGCAAGAATTCAGCAAAACACAAATAATGCAAATCCAATCCAAATAAATGCCATCATATATTTGGATTAGAAGTTACAGTAAGATGAATAAAATGTTCACAGTCTCAATTGAATATGGGAAATTAAACTAAGCAAGATGCACCTTTGCTTGTAATTATACAGTATATTTTTGTTTTAAATATTGATTATCATGGTACTACTCCGATGAAACAGCACACCTTGCCACCATACCACTGTACCACTTTAATCATAAGAGCCTGGAAAGAACATTCGCATTCCAACACTGACAAGGTCCGTAAAAGCTCGGAATAAATATGATAGAAACCATACAGAAACACTTTTGATCAGAAAATGGATTTCATATTTCTTCAAGCCAGAGTTGTGAGCACCCTGAAGAAATAAGCAGTGTGAAAGTGTTGGACGCTTGGAAAAATGATAAATTTATCAAACTACACATAGACAAAAAGAAAAATGTGAAAATTAAACTACAAAAACTAAATGCACGTTTCTGGGCATGTGGAAAATTGAGCACTTTATCTTGAAAAATGAATTATTTGGTAAAAAAATATTCAGCAAATATCTAGCATTGTCATGTCAGCATGTAGACTACTTTTATCCTTTTACCCCTTCAAA